CCGGTCCCCGAGGCGTTTATTGGGCAGACTGGGGTGGGAGCCTATTGGGCTTGTGCTGGCGCTTCAGGTCTCGGTGGGGCAGCGGGAACTTGATCTTGGAATCATGGAACTGCTTGACCGCAGGCCGGCAGCACTTGCCACAGTCTCTTCCACCTTCGTGATCTGGATGGAATGGGCCCAGGCTCGATGCCGAGCACGCATGTTGCGGTAGCACTGGGTAACGGTGCCTGGGGTGGTCACGTCCTGGTACTCCTGGTACATGTTGTGTGTCCCCCCTGCGGGAGTCGTAGAGCAGCCAGATGCCAAAGTTCTTCACCCGCAGAGGGGACTTCTTGAACACCTGCCCACAATACACAATCTCCTCAGAAGACGTCTTCCTCTTCTTCAGCTGTGACACAAAGTACCAGAAGTGGGACTCAGCAACGACATGGTTGGGGGTGAAGATGCGCATGTAGTAGAGTGGTGGTGATTGACACTTGGGGGTGGGCAGGCAGCGGCCCACCCCTTGTACTCACGAAGCGTGCCTGAGGCCTTCGTGGCGGACCTCCGCGCTCGTCCTGACCCACAAAAGGACTATTTCTCTTGATGAAGTCTTTTGATGTGCATAAATGTCTTATTTTTAGTAGGTGCCAGTCATCTATTTAGTGTGCTTCCTTTATTATATTTGGTATCTAGAGCATTCTAATGGTCCCTCAGTCCATTAATCCATCGACTAATTTTGTTTCCATGTGTCTTTCATTTTGCACCTTAGATGTCAGCTCACAATCTTGAAAGACCCTAGTAGCCATTCAGCAAAGTAGGGTGTAGAATAGTCTTTGTGGACTGTGATGTCAGTTGACCTTGGTGTTCCTTTTTTTTTTGACCTTGGTGTTCCTAAAAGTAATGTTCCAAGGCCTACGGGCTCATTCCCTCAGCGTGTTTGGTTATGCCTAAGAAGTTTTCATAACTTTGCCTCTAAATGCTCTACCATATTCATGGATATATTTCAACACAAACAGATATTCTCTGTCAAACATGTATATTTGTAAGTGTACACCTACTCTCCTTCCTTCACCTGGTCAGCCTGTGTGTCTGCCCACTGCGTGACAACTTTCATTTGTGTGTGTAATCATCGTATACAGCTACCTTAGTTTAACTTTTAAGGCTTTATTACAATTTGGTTGTTCTTTTATTGAGTACTTCTTTTTAGTTAATTTTGCCTGTTTATTCCACGTGATCAGATGATCTTGTCAGGTGTCATCCAGTTGGTTCCATTCATAATTAACCTGTGTACAGCAGGAGAAAGCACTGCTCAGTCCTGCGCCAACCACAGTCGTTCATTGTTGGAGCCACTGTGTCCATCATATCTCATACTCTGCTGCTGACTGTTTTACCAAGCATGGTGCTTGAGTTGGAATAAGAACTGCACAAGTCGTCATTACCAGGGTCTCTTTGTCACTGGGGTCTGTATCAGGATTGGGTATAGGGACAGAGACATGAGATTAACTACGTATGGTGTACATAGAAAGGAGCAACCTGGGGTTGTCATCTTCAGAATTTAATCAGTCTGCACTAACACAAGCTTTAAAATGTTTGCCTTCAGACCACTCTCTTCCTCCTCCAAGACTTCCTATCCTGTCACCTCTAGATAACGTGGCATGATTATAATAAGATCTCTCCTCCCTGGGGGACGGACAGCGGAGAAGTGGGTGAGGGGAGACATCGGATGGTGTAAGATATGACAAAATAATAATAATTTATAAATTATCAATGGTTCAGGTGGAAGGGGGGAGCGGGGAAGGAGGGGAAAAATGAGCTGATATCAAGGGCTCAAGTAGAAAGCAGGTGTTTTGAGGATGATGGCAACATATGTACAAATGTGCTTGACACAATTGATGTATATGTATGTATGGATTATGATAAGAGTTGTATGAGCCCCTAATAAAATGATTTTTAAAAGATCTCTATTCCCTGCTTTTCACTAAGTTGAGTTGGGGGCATCATTATTGTGAGATAAAAAAGGAATTAAAAATTTGAAACATAAAACCAAGAAAAATATCAACTAGATCTAGAGAATGGTTTGTTATGATTGTGCATATTTATACAAATATTAATATGTAGAAAACATGTTCCGTTACAGTATACTAAGGCATGATTTCAGAACACTGATAGCATATTTTGTATCAAATAGTAGTTATGCTATCACTTCCATTTCAATATCAGTTTGAGGGGCACAGAGTTAATTTGTGTTTTAGCATTAGCATTCTTTTCAGCTTGACTTTGCTTACAAGATCAGGAGTAAATTTTAGTAGGTCACTATAGGTCAGAAATACTTGAATTCATTGTTTTGTTCTGGCCAATCTGTGAGTTATTTTTTTGTCTTATAAAAATTTAAGGGGTACACCCCCCAAAAAAGTGTGTGCAGTACCATTCAATGCAAATGAGTAGGTGCTGCATTCAACTTATAATTATCCATAATTTGAAGAACTAGTCCATTTAGATAAACTAGAGATATGTTTTTAAATTTAAAGCATTTGGAAAAAAGTAAACATTTGCTGCCTTTGAGACCTGAGTTAGCTACTTAGTTTTGCATGGGCTGTAGCCTAATGGAGTATAGACAGATAGGGTGGGAATGAGTGAGAGGAAAAAAGGGACTATCGAACCCACTGTTGTGGAGTCAATTCTAATTCATATTAACTGTATAGGACACATCTTAATTCCATGGAATACCTGGTGGGTGCAAACCACCCATTTTTTTGGTTAGCAGCCAAGTGCTTTAACCATTCTATCAACCTGGGTTCCTCATTGTAACAGCTTTTAATTTTGTGTGTGTGTCTTTGCATGTATGTATATAACCCTGCTGTCAAGTAGATTTTTATTCATGGTGACCCTACAAAACAGGGTAGAACTGCCCCTTAGTATTGCCAAGATTTAAATCTTTTGGGAGCCAACAGCTAGCTATATCTTTCTCTGGCGGAGCAGCTGGTGGGTTTGAACTGTCAACCTTTCAGTTAGTACTTGCATGTTTAACCACTGTGCTACTAGGGTTCCTGGAAATGGGAAAGAATACTTTTATTTCAATAGGGTGCTCTCGATGTTACCTACAACTTCCCTTAAAACTTTCATCACTTCTAAACCTACTTTTATGCTATTTATTCAGGTTATTTTTAACTCTCTTTACCAATACCCACGTAGAGTTTACTGTGAGATATACTGGTCTGGGTGTGTCACAGCTTATGCTATAAAATGTCCATTGTTTTTATCTTACAAATGGTAGAACCTTCTGTTGTCTTCACTTTGATGCTAAAAGTCTGTCTGTCTTCTAAGTACAAACTAGAGTAATATGGGAGGAGCTAGTTAACAGAATTTTGTGCCCATATTGCAAGGTCTTGAGTTGTTTTAAACAACTTTACATCATTGTTGTAGATTTTTTTTGTATGTAATTCTATATTCGTCACAGTCATTGTGAAGCAAAGTTATCAGAAATACTGTTGATGCTCTATTTCGTGAGAAGTACTGTAATAAGGAAGATTTGTTTTGAAGTAATGTGGGATGCCTTGGTAATTGTTTTCTAGGCATGCTTCCAGAAGAGTGGTGCATCAGTGGTTGCTATTCGAAAATATATCATTCATAAGTACCCTTCACTGGAGCTGGAGAGAAGGGGCTATCTCCTTAAACAAGCACTGAAGAGAGAATTAAATAGAGGAGTTATCAAGCAGGTATCAAATAGTCTTCTGTGATTATAAGTCTAAATTTAGCAAAGTGTAGGGTTTTTAAAAATGTCTTTCTTGCTTCTTAGGTTACATTGTGATGGAATTCTAAAATTATGATTAGTTTTGTTATCTGAGAATACATTTCTAAAATATGGCTGTCGATTGCCTTCACAGTTAACTATTTTAGTGATCAAAAACAATTGGATAAATAGGGTCAATTTTTTTTGTCCTAACTCCTGGTACTAGTAATTGAATTCTATTTGGCGTTTGCTTGTGCTTGAGCACAGGTTTTACTGGAGAAATGGGCTTGAAGGAATCATAATATTCTAACAGCAAAAAAGGATAATTATATGACTTCGGTTTATTAGCTTAAAAGCCTTGCTTATAGAACTAGACATGTTACAATTCTAAATTAGTTTTGTAAATGGGTCTTATTAACTTAATAGTGTCTAAACCTATTACAGCCTATTAGGAGCATCACATCAAAGAAGGCTTGATGACTTGAGACTAATAAAAATTGGTATTGATTTCAGGCATACATCCATGTTACTTTGCTTAGTGTGTTGAAGTAACTACCAAGGCCCTATAGTAATGGTCCTAAGAGCCTAGTTTACTGTACTCCCAGAATCATACTACCTTCTGTGCCTTGCTGTACTTCCTGAGTAATAGAGAACTGTGCGCTGCTACTCAAGCATTTACACTTTGCTCAGGAACTTTCAACAAATGTAATTCCACAGATGCACATACAACAATATGGATTTAAACTGTAGATATATTTCTACACGTTTAAAAAAAAAACAACTTTGAAGCCCCTTTCTATAACATACTAAATACATGCTAATCAGTTGTTTATGTTATTCATAAGACGTCAGTCAGCAGTAGCCTACTAATACTTTGAGAAGTGAAAAGTACAAGTGAAATTTTGACAGTGCTGAGGATTCAGCATACTTAATCCCAACATTGTTCGAGAGTCAGCTATGTGCTGTCTTTTGTGTGCCAGAAGGCACCAACTGATTTCTGCTGTGTGCGACTTAAACAGTTTTGTTTTTCAAAATGTAGCAGTTATACTTAAATAGCCTTTCAAATGATGATTGTTTTCAAAAGTGTTACCTAGCCAATGTAATTATTAGAGCCAAAGACCCATTTTATATCATGGTGTGTGTCAATACAGCTTATGGGCTGGCTTTGTGTTTATCTTTATAAATTTAGTTTGTGATCATCTCTTATAGGCTAACTCTCAGTTTTATGCTTAAACAATAGCTAATAGGTTAAAACACATAATATTGAGTTCTACATTCTTAGAAATGTAGGTAAAGCTAAGCTGTTCAGGACTTGGATCATTGTGAATCAACTTTAAAGGTCTATGAAAGTGCTTTGTAAATTGTAGAAATAACTAATTGTATTTACACATTCCATTATGTTTAATGAACTGTTAATTAGTAATAAATAGGTGAACTGAGACTAACTAGACTCTAAACTGTTATCAATGACCCATCTTTCTTCCAAGTCAGTAAGGACGTTTTCAGTTTTGCTAAAAGATTTCCATGGGACGTTTTCTTTAGAAAACTTGGAGTAAACGATTTAATCTAGTATCTGTAGCATTCTTACTCACTTTTATTTACGGGGGCACAACACCTGAGAGAATTAACTGGGTTGTCCAATATTGAATAGCTTGATGATGATTTATTTTAGGTAAAAGGAAAAGGTGCTTCTGGGAGTTTTGTTGTGGTTCAAAAATCAAGAAAAATACTTCAGAAATCCAGAAACAGAAAGGTGAGAAGACTTACATATTGTTCAATTAAACACTAGTACTATTACTAATAAAATTATTTTAAAACAAAGCTGAGTGGGACTTATGGACTTGATCTGGACTGGGCTGGGATATCTTCTTAATATGCAATTACTTTCTCTCTATGACACACACACACACAAAATAAAATAAAATAAAATAAAGCCAAGTGAATGTCGAACATGATAGTGTGACAAGAGGAAAGTAAAAGGAAATAGAGGAAAGAAATAGGAAGCAAAGCACATTTATAGAGGTGTAAATAGAGGCACATAACATATGTAAACTACCTAGGACAGTTTTTCTTTTTGTCTTATGACTTAACATTCTTCCCCGAGACACATAATTCCACCAATTGTTTTTCCATTAATATAATGAAATACTAAGTATTGCAGATATAATCATGAATATTTTACCTTTTTTTTAAATTTTACTTTTTTTAACAACTGAAGATTCTTACACTTTTTTTCATTAAACTTTAAAACATTTCAAAATGAACTTTTGCACATTGCTGATCCTTTTTTATTTTTTATTACAGCCAAAGAATGAATGAAGAACTTTAAACAGTGTGCCGTGCCTTTTTTACTTTCATATGTACCATTCATTCTTTCAAGCTGAGGTTGTTATCTCAAGGAAATTGACAGTTTACATGTATAGCACACATGTTTGGATGTGTGTAAAGAAGTGATAGTTTTAATTTTCAATCAACTGAGCAATAGGCCTTCAGCAAAGGGAAATGAGATTCAAAATTTTAAAAATTTAAATGGATTCATAAAGCCTTTGAGATGAATTTTTAAAACATTTGAACAGAAAGCTCTATATTATGTAATGATGATAACCTTTTGATACTATCTTTCAGAAGACACCTGCAGTGGATCCAGAGCCACAAGTAAAATTGGAAGATATCCTCCCACTGGCCTTTACTCGCCTTTGTGAACCTAAAGAAGCTTCCTATAGTCTCATCAGAAAATATGTGTCTCAGTATTATCCTAAACTTAGAGTGGACATCAGGTAGGAGCCATCGGCTTGGAATTTTAAAATACACCGGCATTGGTTTAGTAGATTTGAAGAACTACTCTTCCCGTACCTGTTTTTCATGAGAAATGAGAAAAATAATTTAGGAGGCATTCTTTTTAGCTGAGCTAGGAATAGGTGTTTCATTGGCCAGCTTTATTATTTGCCCCATTGTGATTTATTTTTTGTATCTCCATGTGTAGTTCCTTTTGGAGCTCAAACTGCATCTTTTATAAGACCCTGATCGAATAACTTTTTACTTTGGTCAGTGTTGGAATGATAATTGTTGAACTTATTTTCCTCCCAATGCTACTTAATTTTATTTATGTTGAACTATGGCTGAGAGCATAAGAGAGTTCAGACTTTGTAGCATGTACCTTTACATTTAAGTAGTATAATGTCTTTAATATGTAAACACATTCTGAAAGAACTTTAATAGTTATTTGTAAGAATTTCTACTTAGAGGGGTCTCGGGGAGGAGATGAGCCAGTCAGGGTGCGATGTAACAACGATGAAAAATACTACTTTCCTCTAGTTCCTAAATGGTTCCTCCCTGCTCCCACTACCATGACTCGAATTCAACCTTGCAAGTCTGGCTAGACCAGAGGATTGGACACTGGTACAGATAGGAGCTGAAAATACAGGGA